AATTCCTTAAAATGTTTGGTCTACAAAAGCCCCCTACTTTGGAAAAGTTTCGAGAATATCGATTGAAGAACGTCGGTCGTGGCTTACGTGCAATGGCTCTTAGGTAAAAAAAAGTCCCCAAAATTCCGATTTTCACCTGAAAACGCTTCTTTTCCTCATCGAGGGAGGTGTTCCATAGGGTCTGTTGTATCCGCCGAATCTCTGTCGTTTCGCCAAAAGACAATTCGCCGTGGCGAAAAGTCATGGGACATTTCGCCAATTGGCGAAGTGTCATGTGCTGTTTCGCCAATTGGTGAAGTGTCATGTGCCGTTTCGCCAATTGGCGAAAGCGTACAAAACGGCACTGACATCTCGCCATGGCGAATTGTCTTTGGGCGAATCGTCTTGCGGCGAAACGGTTTTTTACCATCTTTTGTGTACGCAAAATTTTGGGGAATCTCTGACGTTTCGCCAGAGCACGATTCGCCAAAAGACAATTTTCTGGAAACCTCCCTCGAAATATACATTTTCAAACAAACGAACAAATAGCTACGAACACAGAATCTTGAAAATAGAAATGCAACGTACTAATTCTAACACAAATAAACATGAGAACGATGCCACAACAAAAGACATAGGGGAATAAATTAAATAAAATTTTTCAAATAACGTTGCGTTTTATCTAATTCAACTTAGTAAAAAAACACCTGTTCTTAAAAATGAAGAAAAAAAAACAAATATATTTACACTTTCAAAATACATCTTCACATAGTCTCTACCTCCTTCCTTCTTCTTCATCTTCACAAACACTTCTAACTACTATCACTATTTTCATCAATATCCGACAAATTTGCAATTCTACTGGCCGTATCATTTTTACTTTTTCTTCCTCTTCCGCCACCACGACCACGTCCAAGAGTTCCTTGTCCAGATGAACTGCCACAACCAGAGCTGTCGCCACTTCGTGTTACACGTATTGTTGTTATTGTTGTTGTTGTGGCAGTTGTAACGTCATCATCCGACACTTCTTCCACCTCACCAGACGATTGTGGATCATCTTGGCTTCCGCCTTCCCCATTCTCTTCTCCATCTTGAACTGGGGCTGTTGTTGATGATCTCTTTCCATGACCACCTTGTGGTTGAGTAACTGGTAAAGATGTTGATGACTGAAGACGTTTGGTCGTTGTTGTTTTCTTTCGTTTTTTCGACGGTGGTGATGTTGTCACTGGAATTGTTGCTACTGTCAATGGTGCGATACGATTTGCATTGGAAGCTCCAACATCAGCATTTCCAACCAGGTGAGTACATGCTGACAAATAGCGGTCAACTGTATATTCACCATTAATATATTTTTCATTCAAAGTATCAATTAATTTGCTGATACGATCATTTTCACCTGCAACTGTTGATCCACTCTTTTTAATTTTACCAGCTTCCAATTGTTGTAATCGTTGATGAATAACTTGCTCTTCGATCAACAGATGATGCATAAAGAGCCACATGTTTGGATGATTTCCAAATCGATTACCCAGACGGTTATTGTAACCTAGAACAAGTAGACAAAGAACTAAGTAATGTAAAAGTTAAATTTTCCCTAACTCAACATAGTGAACTTCTAGCTACCTCTCAAAAGCTTTGCTAGTTTTTTTCTTTATTACTACTTTAATTTCTTCTTTTTCCTTCGTAGTTTTATTCTTGTTTAACTAGCAAATTATAGTTTTTTTCTGTCACTCATTCGTAGCCAAACTCAGATAAAAAAACTTCCCTAACTCAATTTAGAGAACTGCTATGCGATACTTACTACTCAAAACCAATTCAAGTTTCCTTTACCTTACTCCGTCCCTAACCTAACTTATGAAAAACACTTATCATCATAAATTGAAAAATAGAAAACACCACCCCTATAATCGCTTACCTTCTATCCAATTGTTGGATCGAGGATTATAGTTTCCGACATGCCAATATTGTGGTGGTACAGTAACAAGCCATTGATGTTCCCAATAACGTAACCATTCCAAACATTTAATATCATCAGGGCGATTTTCACGTAGATATTCAATAGCAATTGGAAAAATACTGTTGTCAACCAATGGCAAAGCCATAAAGCTTCGTATCCAAAGACGAACTGTTGGATCTTTCTTATAACTGGTAATAAGACCTTCTTTTCCAACATGTTTTAATAAACATTTTACATGATGGAGCCAACACAAGGTGATTTCAACACTATGAAACTATAGAGAAAAGCAAGGAGAAAATGAAACAAGTTAGTTTGAAAGACATCCAACACTATATCCAAGCACTTACATATTTCTCAATTGAATTGATTTGTGCATGTTCACAATCCAGTATGAATCTTTTTACATTCATTTGTGTATGATGTTCAGATGCCCATTTTTTAATTACACTCCAAATTTTATCATATGTTTCCTGTTTACGATTTGAAGTCAAAGCCCAAGCCAATGATACACCTACAATGACCAAAGGAAACAAATACAAATTAATTCAATCGTTCCCTAAGTCCAGTTAGGGAAATTCTTTTCCTTACCTTCGATTCCAACTTTTCCCATTATAACAACTAACTGATCAAATCCTAATTTTTTAGCTGGTACAACACCAAACGTTCCATCGACTAACACTAATTCAGCAGCAGTAAGATATTCCAAAAATTCATCTTTTGTAAATATTGTTAGACGTCCACCATATTTCGTCTTAAAACCATCATACAAAATAAATGGTTCACCTCTCACGGTTTTTGTGAAACGATCAGGCAAATCGAATTTCTGTGTTGTCGGTAGAGGTGGAAACAGCTGTTGACGAGATCGATAAGCTGAACGTGCTAAATGAATAGGAAAGATAATAAATGTACACGGCCTTAGCTTAGGGATCTCCCTCTCTATCAAAACTCTAGCAGACTCTTTTAGTACTACTATTATTTTTTCTCCCTAAGTGAACTTAGGGAAATTCTTCTATCATAACTTACAGTTTTTTCTTTGCTCTCTGTTTTCCTAACTCGACTTGGTGAAAACTCAAAAAAGAAAAAGCACTCACCAACTGATTTTGGTAATGGCATTTGTACCATTTCTTCATCTGTCAATTTTAAGTCAACCAAGGCCTTATCAGCTGCTGCTGGAATATTTACAGATATATCTTTGGCTTTTGATTTTAGATCGTGAACCATCACACTTTTCTTCATTTTCAAACCATTTGGTGGATGATAATGTACTCCATCATTATGGTCAACATATGAATCATTAGCCGGATCAATATAGATTACAGCTGTACAACGTTTATTACGTTCTTGACATCTGTATGGCATATATCCATTTGAATTTGGGCCTTTTGTCATTTTAATATAAGAATAATCCTCCATTATCCATGAATCACTTCCACGTTTTGTTGAACTCTTTATAATAGGTCCAACTACAATTGACCATGTTTGTTTTCCATTACCAACCAATGTTTCATCTGTTAATTCTTCATCATTCTTCTTCTTCCGACTCACTTCATCTTCATCATCACCACTACTACCACCGCTATCGTCAACAAAATCATGAACATTGTATGGATTGTTTCTCATATTTGTTGTTATCGTGCTTGTATTAAAGAAAGATCCAAGAGAAGAATTAGTAGAAGTTGATCGTGGACGTTGAGATTGTTTTGTTACTGATGAGACTGACGATGACGAGGGTGGTGATGGCAACATCAATAATAATTCTTCCATTCTTTTATTAGTCAAATGTTGTGGACTGACTGGTACACTTGTTGTGAGATTTGATGTCCACGTAGATGAAGAGCCATTTGTTGATTGTTGTCGTTGTTTTGGTTTGAGATCAATTGCTGGTGGTTTTGAGGGATACGACTGAAGACGTTGCGGAGTAACAACAACTGTTGTTGTTGGTCGTTGACAGTCTTCCTCAGGAGACGAACTAATATCAATAATTGGAAGTGTATTTCTTCTCAATGTCGTTGATTCATTTTCCAATATAATCAATTCATCTTCACTTTGATTGTCGTCTGTTTCTTGCTGCTGTTCTTCTAATTCTCCAGAGGCTGTTGGACTTAGTAGTGGCAATCTAACTGGCACTGCTGCACTATCCAATTCAACAGTCTGCTGCATATTTCCTAAAAAAACAAGGTATATTTGTTCTGTAACTACTCTTAGGGAATTGCTATTCCTCACCAAGACATAAAAGAATCTACTTAACACGAAAGACAAAAACACAAGACTACTCACCACTATCCTTCTGTTGTCCAGCTGCGTTTATACTTTCTTCATCACCTGCTTGAACTTTATCAATTGCTGGCTGAACACTAACTGCAGCTTTCAATGTTTGTTTTTTCTTCTTATTATTACTATTAACATTTGTTTGTGGTGGTAATTGCTGTTGCTGCTGTGATTGTTCAATGTTAGCCAGTCCACCTGCAGCTGCTGATTTCGATCTTGTCACCCGATTAACACCATAAAATTGTGCACCTTTCATTTTACAAAATTATTCTAACATTAATTACCTAAGATCAGCTGAGATCAACGGGATAAAAAAAAAACAATAAGCAACGAGAGGCAGATAGATCAAAATTATAGACAAGAGACAATCACAAACAGCAATGGAACTACAATATAATATCTGTTTAAAATAAAATGAAAATGAACCTATGAAGAAAAGCTCTGACTTATATATGCATCTTCCTAGCGGCACTTCTTGGGTGACAGAGAGGGAGAAAAAAATACGAACAGTCGTCCTACATGAACGAGCTAAAAACAAATTCGATATTCCATGGTCTGTTCGTCTGTTTAAGGAGATGAACAGTTGAACAGTCTTCGTATGTAAAAGGACAGAGATTAAAAGAAAAGAATTAATAGGCGAGAGAGACAAAGAGATAAGGAAGAACACGAAAACTAGACAGGAAGAAAAAATACATATAAGTGTGACTTATAGAGATAAAGAAAGGATAGTCGGATGAGCTTTCCACTTCTCTCCCCTTTAAAATGTTTTCCCTATAGTCAAGCGACATTTTCTTTACATATGTATTATCATAATTTAAATGGCGATACCTAAGTCAAGTTAGGGATCAAGAATCAGTGAGATTCCTAAGTTAACTTAGGGACTGATAACAATTTACGGTGTTGTAACCATTTACAGGCAAAATGTCATGTGCCATTTCGCCAACTGGTGAAACTGTACAAATTCTGGGCGAAACGGCATTGACACTTCGCCAATTGCCGAAACGGCACACGACATTTCGCCAACTGGCGAAACGGCGCATGACATTTCGCCAGTTGGCGAAACGGCGCATGACATTTCGCCAGTTGACGAAACGGCACATGACATTTCGCCAGTTGGCGAAACGGCACACGACATTTCGCCAGTTGGCGAAACGGCACATGACATTTCGCCAGTTGGCGAAACGGCGCATGACATTTCGCCAGTTGGCGAAACGGCGCATGACATTTCGCCAGTTGACGAAACGGCACATGACATTTCGCCATGGCGAATTGTCTTTTGGCGAAACGGTATTTTACCTATCCGCCACGAAGTAATATTAAACGAAAACCTTCTTCATACAGTTGGTGAAGAGTTTTATTCACGTATCTGCATGCTTCAATCATATGATCCCATGTATCGAGATGTGGCCCCAGAACTCGAATTTTTTCGCTAGAAGGACTGTTCAATTTTAAGACCAAAAATGTTTTCTGGCGATCTTCCATCGTTTCCACACAGTAGCTCAGAAAAATTGTTTCCAAAAAGTGGTTGACTCTCCATGGATCCACCCTGATATTTTCAGCCCGATCCAAGGTTGTTAATGAACAACATTATCTATCTATGCAAAAAATCAAGCCCCTTTGATTATTTTTCTCAAAAAGTCTGTATTATTATCACGAGGCTATGAAAACTCTACGCTATTAGCCAGCATCTATGAATGAAATATGACACTTTCTTCTTTTTAAAGCAGTCGCACCAACACCGTCTCGGTCAAGCACCTAAGCTTTCATCTGCTTCAACAAATGCGCAATCAGATCGTACGCTATAACGCTACGTTAGGTTCGAAACCCAGTGCATCCTTGGCATACATCGTCGAACCATTTCTTCCGACGTACTTTGACCTGTCACAAGGCGGCGCCTATCCGCACAACGCTTCGTCATCACCACTTTTCCCAATTCTCCTTCAGTTTAACTGACAATCGGCATTTGACGATGACGTTTTTATTAAAGGAATCAACTCGGCGAGCCGTACTCTTCTGCAAACAGTTATCGCTGATGGTCAAGATGTTGGCGGCTCGAGCCAGATTCGTTATCCGAATTATGCTATCAAAACTACGCCTCTCGAGGAAATGTACGGTGATAATCTACGTGAACTCCGCAGGATCCGCAAAGAATGGGACCGGGAGAATGTCATGTACCACACCGGAGGATTCAAATTTTAAAAGAACTTATCAATATTAAAAACTCTTTCTTTTTCTAAATCTGATCTGTTCTTTTTTTTCTTCAAGTCTACTAACAAAATTCGGTTACATTTAATACAGTACAATGGGCGGGGGTTGAATAAAGAATATTTGATTTTTTTAAACCTTAAGAGCCGAATGTCCCTTCCAAGGAACATTGTATCAGGTGATAGAAATAACATATAGAACGTGTCTGTCCGAAAGCTGATATTTTTCTCGATTCAGCTGACCTGATAAGTCGTTGAGACAGAAAGAAATCATTCCAAAACAGTTGCCGTGGAGCACGGCAGTCCTCTTAAATTGATGGAAGTTTTTAATATCCATTTTCATTTGGCTGTGTTATAAATATGCAGTGAGCTGTCTTCTTGTTGCGTGGTAACACTATGGATCAAGACCACCTATCTTATGAAACCATCCCATAAATCTCTAGACAATCTATTTCAGTATTTTCTCATAATAACGGAAATGTCCCTTGCGAGTGACATTAGGTAATAGCGGGCCAAAATACCTCAAGCATCCCTTTACCCTCTAACAATTGTCATTGTATTGCGGAAGAGATTTTTTGCTCAGTTCTGGTTCTAAAGAGGTCACGAGTAGGGAAGCAATGGCAGCGGCTATCCTCCGTGCCATCATCAAAGATTTTGGAAATATCTTCAGACTTTTCCTCTCTTGCGCTGTCAAATCAAAACCGCTCTGATTCTCATTCTGTACGCTCCAACATGGTCATTTGATCCTTCTTGTCAGGATTGAATAGCGATTTCAATTGTGGTGCAAAAATACTAGTGTAGTCAAAAGATGTGCGCCATCGTTCCGGTGTATTCCGGTGCGAGGTATTGAGATGACCTCAGAAACAAGCACTTTATTGAACCAGAAAGCGACTTGATGTTGAAGAATTACCAGATATTGGTTGGAATGATCTTGGAAATTATAACAAATGCTTAAATAATATTATTTATACAGAAAACCTCTCTTTGCATAATTTGAGGAGAGGGGAAAAGTTGAGCCGCAAAGACCGAATGTCCCTCCAAGGGACATTCTGTATCTCCTCAAAGAAAAAAAAGGTTTTATTGTGAATACATAATGATCATCGTGAGGGTCTGGAGTCTCTGTTTTCATGATCCACTCTCTGCAATAGCCACGAGAACCCCCTTCGGCTGTTTAGGGTTAACATTGGCACAAGAGAACAAAATCAACATATTTCACATGATGTGCATGCGTACCATACTTGCTCTCAATTTAAGAGACCAAATGCCAAATCAAAAGATCTTGGAACTCTCAGGACAACCGTTAATTGATAATAGAATGAGACGCAACCGTCTCCGATAGTTTGCCCACGTAAATCGCAGGGAAATGGAATCGGGTCAAGTAGTATTGGTGTAAAAAGTCATATTTTCCTATTTTGCTAACTGTAAACATCCAGAGAACATCGGGATAAGGAAGCGTTGGCGAGCGAAAGTGATGGACGATATCGAGAAGGTCAGGATAAAGAACTGGAGAAGGGATACTATGGACAAAGACAGGTGGCGGGAGATGATCAACAGGCATGTACTAACCAGCTTGACACATCAAAACCTCAAAAAGATCGTATATGAATACAAAGAACGAGCCAACCTGAGGTGAAAAGAGGAATTAACTGGAGTGTAGCGTAGAACAGTAACAGAGATCTTGGCTAAAGGTGTAAACGGAAAGTACACATGTGCAACTTGTAATCGACAATTCAAACCACAAGGGATAACTGGACATGTGAGAGCTTGTGCGAAAACGTGGTGTACGAAACACAAAGTCAAAACGAAGTAGAGCAACGTGCCTAAACCAAGGATACTCATCACCGGTTAGAAATGATGATTATCAATTAAACCATTTGGAAGTTCCGAATCTGAAAAGAACAGGAATAATAATTTTTGGGAACAGACGTTGCAAACGCCAACAGACACTGTTTTCTTTTTTCCTTATTTTATGTAGTCTTGTTGTTTTCGTGTACTTTCTTTTTCTGTCTCACCTCACACCGACAGGTATTGGGTATGTATAGATAAAAACAAAAACAAACAATAAAAGTAAAGTCAATTGAAAACGTTCTGATCTTTAAAGCCATCTAATGAGATTCCATAGTGGGGATCGAAACGCATCATTGCAACTGTCTTTACCCTCAAGAAATATTTCTTTTTACAAATGTTAGATTTTCTCATTAACCCCTGTGCTAGGTGGCAGTGCAGATCCACATGGTGGGTCCAATCACTACGCCGTCTCTTATTTACACGTACATACTCATAGCCTCCTTTATTTCATTGTTCCGTTTATGCCATTCTTCCGTTATCTTTTCACACATTCTATTCATTGTCCTTTTGTGCATGATTTAGTTGCGATTCGTTTTATCGAGAATAAACAAGTTCCACATACGCACTACGTAGCACCTCGTTTCATTTTTTCTCTATTCTGTGTCAGAACAGTAGCTTTGTTTTAGTCGTTAATGTGCAGAACAGTTCATTTTCTTTTTTAAACGCATTCAAAAAACCTTTTTTTGCAATATGAATTTATCTAATCCAAGCCAATGTTTAAATGGAGGCCAATATTTTAGAAATAGCAATGAAACATCTGAATCGTGGTCATGCAAATGCTTACCATGTTCTACAGGATCATTATGTGAAATACTATATAATTATATTCGATGTCTTGGACAGTATTAATAGCTGTTGATATTGAATATCCAAAAACACATGATGAAAAGTTTATTTTAAAACCAATATATTTTATAATAACAACTTTATTATTTTTGATATCAATAATACTAAATATATTTTGTTTAAAAACATATTTAAGAAAACAAATACGTATAACAACATGTGGTATATATTTAATTAATTATTCATTATATAGTTTATTATCAATTACACTTCGAGAAATAACAATAATTAATACAATTATAATAAAAAAAATATAATTTTTTTATTTGTCCAATTTTACCAGCACTTTCAGCAACAACTATTTCATTAAGTTTATGGACAAGTTCATTTATTGCTGTTGAACGTCTGTTAATTGAATGTTTTAATTATAGTTTGTATCGAACACGAAAATATTCTTTTATTTTTTCAATGATATTATTTAATTTAATTTTTTTAACACATATAACAGAGTTTAAACGACGTAAATTAAAACCAGATCCAATATCACCAAACATTTATAGATGTACGTATGATCATTTTGAATGGTCCGATGAAACGTGGGACATAATTGATAGAATAGGAAGACGAGAACATTTACATATTGGTGTACCATGTTTCTTACATTTAATATCAACAATATCTATACTAATACATATTGTAAAACATAAAATTTATATAAATGAAGCAGAAAATCAATTTTGCCAAGTATTATTAATACAAGTAAAAAAACATAAAGATTTTTTTATTCCACCAATATTAATTATTTTATGTTCATTACCACGTTTATTATTCGAATTAATTACACCTCGAGATTGTCTCGAATCCAATATGAAATTTAAATTACGAATGTGTATTGTATTTCGTTATATTTATTATTTACCACAAACAATACCATTTTTTATTTATGTATATCCATCATCAGTTTATATGAATCAATTTCATCGAACAAAAATTGCAATTTATTTATTTGAAAAAAACAAAACAGTTTTATCTCAAAAAGATATTATTCGAAAAGAAAAGAAGATGGTCAATTTAAAACTTTTTAGATTCGCCACAGAAATCATGTGGACAATCAGTTTGTACCGTGGAATCAACAGTTGCGACCTGGCTTTAAGGGAAAGGTTTAAATATATCAAAAATCATCATCACATGCCCAAAGAATGTTTTTCTGTTCTAATTAGAAATTTATCTTATTCGATTTTACGAAAAAAGTTATTAAAAAAATTAAATTTTCATGTGTTTTTCGAAAATTTTTCCTTTGTGATCAATTGAACATTCTTAAAATGAATATTAATTAAATTTAATACCATTCTCTAGACTGAAAGGATAGGGTCTATCAAACGGTAATTATGTATTCTGTCTGTAACCCGTTTTTAAAACCACGATGGGATCTGTTGTCAGTTGATTGAGAGTGATGGTTTTTATTACGCGAGATGAAGCAGAATCTCTCTTTCTCTCTTCATTAATCACTTCCGCGCCTTTCGTTTTCTCGCTGGTTCGAATGTCGAGCGTTGTGGCTCATTCGACTTCACTGCCGCTCTGTTTGTGGAGAATACGACTTTGAAACCTCAATCCATCTCTTGCTCGTGCGCTCTACGTATACTGATTTCTACAGGCCTTGAACGAAACCCGGTAAGAGTTAGTGATCAGTAGGGAGCTAACTATTCGATGTATCTTCTTGAGATTAGTATTTGCTGTCGTTTTCAGATCGAGCGGATGAAGTTTCGCAGAGAAGTACACGAGTTACCCCCTTTTTTTAGGTGAAATCGTAGTCTTCGCTGTTGTATCGCGATTTGTGCAAAATCTAATCTGCGTGCTAAAGCTCATACATTTCGGGTTTTGAAGAAGAGATGCAGGGCTACAAAACTCAACATTCCACATCGTGCTGTAATTGAGCCATTTTGAGCTAGGGTCATCGACTTTTTTGGTCCAAAATTCCAAACATAAGCCAAAAAAAGGAAGCAAACCAGTCTGCGGAAAGTTTCGGACACATACCAGTTTGTAGAGCGTTCTCTGCTGATCAGTTTGAAAAAAAAGAATTATTTGATTTCATCAAGAAATGACGATGCTAGAGCCAAAATACTGGCGAGTACAGGTCGTCCAAATGACAAAAAAGTGATTTTAGGCCGATTTTGTTTAGAGTCTAGAATCGTCAATTCTCAATGAAATCTAGTAAATCTTTTTTTTCAAAATCATCAGCAAGAAAGCTCTACAAGATGGTGTATGGTAGAATGTTTTTGGAGACTCTTGTGTTATTTGTGGTTTACTTTCCATCGAACTACCCCCTCATGTTTGCTGTGAGGTTGTGATGAGCCGATGACAATCGTATACGAAGAACAGGCTGTGGTTCATGTACTAGGTGAATTAGCGAAAGAGGAGACACTTTTACGAGGGAAGTGTCTAAGGAAAATGATTTAATTTCAGTACAAACACCATACTCGTCACTATACCGCTGATCAACATCTCCAATGCGAACGGAACCAGAAGATCGAACACGACCCAGTATCCGAACGATACGAATCGAACCACCACCATGCAATATATAGCGTCCCAAATTGGCCAAACAACAACGACGAAATCAACTAAAACGACTCAGGCGATACGAATTCCAAGTCATTCGGCACGACTACGAATCTTTTTCAACGTCAGTGATCAAGCGAATATTAATCGGCATGAACATTAGCTGGAGGAATATCAACATCGTTCGACATACACTCTACCTCGATCTCAAAATCGAAGAAACTCGGAAACTGGTCGACAAGATGCTACACTCGGAAATATTCACCGAAAAACACTAGCGCCGATTTCAAAAACAGACATTACATTCGCGATAGATCTTTTTTTCTTGGAGGGTCGATTGTTACATGCTTTCGCCTTCACAGTTTTTTCTTTTTTTCTTCTTTTTTTCGTTTTTCTTATTTTCTTCTCTTTCGTTTCTTCATTTTATACAGGTGATATCTTCGATCGCGCGTTCTCTCCATGTTCTCTCTAGTTATTGTGTTGTTCTAAGCGTGTTACTAGTGTGTGTATGTGTGTGTCGGTGCATTTTTCAACAAAGAAGAAGTTGGCTTTCCCCCGGAGGATCCGCTTACACCTGTGAATACCCGTGAACACTGAATACTAATGGCGGGTATTCAGATGTTTCTCTCTTGAGAATTATACTATCATCAACAATCATACGTGAGGCATTAAAACATTTCCGGACTGATTTTATTTAGGAACAACGAGGATAGCCTGACCATTGAACCGTATTCAATACTCATAACCATGACGCATCTCGGATATATGTGGAAAAAGATTTCTTTCTTGTCTAATCATTCATTACAGATAGGTGATCGCAGTTATATTTGAGGAATTTCTAGAAATCTCGTAAGTTCGACATTGAAAAATAATTTATGTTCTTTTAAACTACAGTATAATTCCCCTGTTGTTAGCTTTCTCTATCATCCAAATCTCTTACCCACTAAATGTTAATATGCCAGAAGGAATCAGTAGAAAACTATGGTCTGTATTAGCTGAGTTAGTGATATTAGTAGTTCTACTCTAACTTGGTGACTGACAAAGGTAAACCTATTCGGTTCAGATGAATATGTATATTTAAATATATGGGGACGACTGATCTTGATGACGAGGACAAAACAACAAAAAAACTGGGGAAAAAACTTGTACACAAGGTTGAACGAGAGAAAGAATGAAAAAGGTTAGCGACAACAACGTTATATTTGTTGACGCTAACACCTGTTCTTGTAAGTATTGCGTCGTAGAAAAGCAGAGATCTAGTGCTGTATGATCAAAGCCGAAATACAAAAACAAGATACAATGCGGTAACAATACTGAAATTATAGGAAAGGTGGGACGATAATGCTGCAGAAGTCTCAGTACTATTATTATCATCGAGAATCATTTGTGCACCTTTTTCACCAATCATATACACTGGAGCTTGAGTGTTTCCTGAAGTAATAAGTGGCATGATGGAAGCATCAATCACACGTAATCCGACGACACCACGAACACGAAGACGTGTATCAACAACAGCCATCGAATCAATGCCCATCTTGCAAGTTCCAGTGAAGTGGTCCCCAGAATTAGAGTTAGCTAGGGAATTCTTATTTCCATAGAGATAATTCTTAAATTGAACATCATCTGAAAGATTACCAAAACTGGAGAAACCAGAGTTACGTAATGGAGCAGTGCTAAAGATTTGATTAACACGACGAATACCTTCCATAAGGGTGTTGACATCATGCGAGGCACGATCGGAGAAATAGTTCATTTGAATATTGGGCGCATCAGTCGGGTCACGTGATACTAGAGTGACACGACCGCGTGAACGTGGTTGAAGTAAATAAGCTAAAGCCCATAAACTAGTACCATTCGGTGTTCTGACAGTGATCTGAATATCAGGACGAGAATCATTAACTGACTGGAATTTTGTACGAATAAAAACGTGGGTACGAGAACCGCCAGAAGCCAAAATACCCGTGCGATTATAATTATATAAATCCCAAGCTGTTTGATCGATAGTCGAACCGGGAGGAATTGGAAATGGAGAACTACTGTCAACAGTCCATAAACCGGTAGTAATCACATGATCTTGCAGATTCTCGCCTACACCGGGTAAGTCTTGAACTACTGGAATATCAAGTTTATTCAGTTCTGTCGTATTACCGATTCCAGATAGAAGAAGAAGTTGAGGTGATCTGAAACTTCCTAACGAGACGATAATTTCCTTCTTAGCAGAAGTGGTGTGAGCTTTCCTAGTTTCCAAATCGTACCAGTCGACACTTATAGCTCGTTTTTTGCTGACGTCGAAATTGACTTTAGACACTAAACTGGAATCTTGCACCCAAAGATTATTGCGATTCAATACAGGACGAATATATGCACCAAAGGCAGTTTGACGAGTTCCATTGAAAATGGTATATTCATGAAAACCGACAGAACCTAAAGGAGAAGTGATTTGCTGAGCTCCATTCCAGTCCTCGACAAATGTCATGTTTAATGCTTGACAGGCTTGAACAGTGAGCATATCAGCAGCAGGTTCATATCCTCCACGACTCAAATGAAGAGGTCCTGCATTTCCATGATAACCAGGATTTGTCGAGTAACGTGGAGAAGTCTCGACTCGCTTGAAGTAAGGTAGAAGATTTTGATAATTCCAGTCAGTTCCCACTTGCTCTGCCCATTTGTCATAATCCAAAGGATTTCCACGAACATACAGTTGTGCGTTGATAGCAGAGGTTCCACCAAGTGCTTTTCCACTAGACAGTTGACGTTTAGTGCGATCGTATGTGACAACAGGCTCGTTTGGTGCTATTAAATCATTTCTATTGAGTGATGATGCGACGTTACGGACCCAATTTCTCGGAATAGACACCAACTGTTCATCTTCAACATTTGTTCCAGCTTCAAGAAGAAGGACAGTATCCTGACCAGAAGCGCTCAAACGATTGGCCACTACTGATCCGCCGACACCACCGCCAAGAATAATATAATCAAATGTAAATGGTAAGCTGGTATGATGCCGCACACTCGGTCCATTTCTCGTATTAGTTTTAGCAGTAACGACACGTTCAAATGAAGATAAAACAACTGTCAATAAGATGACTAACCACATTCAGCAAGTTTTCTGCAAAAAAAAGCGTACATTGAAAAACTCCAAACGAAAGTATATGATTGTGTTTGGCGCTCTTTTTATAGCTCCTTTATATTTTTCTCTTTAGTAAAGAACAAAAATAAAAGGCAATAACACTCATCATAATCTTACTTTCATACATTGTAACAGAAGAACTGTAGGATAATAAACCCTTCAAGAGTGTGACGATTTCTGATGATAACACTGCTAGAGAACTAGTGTGTGTATATTTTATTTCGATATCAAGAACCGTGTTTCTACTGCATTTTCTCGGTGCTAATATACTAGGAGGATGGATAGAGAATCACGCGGTGTAAGGGTAAATTTCAGATAAAACACAGGTTAGAATCTACTTATGAATAACAAGAAAGGCACGCATCGAAGGTATGTATGGGGAGGGCACATATGAAAAAGCACGCTTCGAGAGTATGTATATGTCTGACATACAGATTCTGCATGCCACATCAAGAAAAAGACGAATTTATGCTCTACGATAGAACTCTAATACAAAATTACTAATGAAAATCGAAAGCAAATACATAACAAAATGAATATACCGTTAAATACAACAATGTACGAAAATTTAAGAGGAAATTTGTTCAGCACTACAATAGATATAAACGAATAGAAATATCGAAAATGCTATCTGTTTACTTTGAAAACATCATCATAGATTTTTGATAATATGTGTTCTAAAAGAAGAATGATTAGATCGGTACGTACACATTTTTTAACTGGAAAATTTATTGAAATTATATATTTTTAAAGACACATGCCATATACACAGATGAGTTAGTAATATTAATTGTATAGAAAACGTATGTCTTAGCAAACATATTTAAAAAGTTAAAAAAATTATTAGGTGAAGATGAAAAAGAAATGAGATATCGTGGTATCTAATAGTAAATATGTTAATTGACAAACATTTTGTTTTGTAATAATTATTTGCATAAAACCTCGTGCTAGTCAATCAGTTGTCATAAATATAACAGAATAAAGACTATTTATTCTTTCATCATAAAATAGGAAGAAAAAACAAACCAATCTTTACTCAAATTGTTACATAAAATGTAACAATAATAATAAGAATAATAATAGCTGAACACATACACGTATGATTTTGTAATTAAAAAGATAATAACCTTAGTATGTAACCAGAGAATACAATTATCTTTCATCTAACTGGAATCATAATTATGGGTGAAACATAAGCCGTTTTTTGTCAGCATTGACTACAAAACAATTACCCAATTTACTTATGCTAGATGAATGACTGAAAAGACAAAGCTATGATTTCCATAAGAGATTGTATCAAGCACAACTATTGATCTTTATCATTTTCAGTGCAAATTATGATCAATGAACGATTGTTAAATATAGACTGTCAATTTTTTTTTATTGCATGACTACACACATAACATGTTGATGTCGTAAACTAGTTTTACATGTAGTCATGCAATATATAATAGTTAGCTAGAAACGCTTGTAAAAACGGTACATTGTGAGAAAAAGGCGCTTTCGAGCGAAACTAATTCCAAATACTCGCCTTCTTAATAAAACATCCAAGATGTTATAATAATCTATATAATCATCAATTTATTGGCTATAAATTTGTTTGACATAGCTGTAACAAATAAACAAGACGTTGAAAACAAAATTTGTTGAATGTCAAAAAATCAATCAAGCATCAAGGAAGCACGCTCTTTCCAGATAAGAAACACTTGAAAATCTTAGATAAGATTGGCATTCGCTATCTTAGTACTTCCGAAAACGCTTCAATATACAAGAGTAAGTGGAGTATTTTTACACGATGCCAATGGTCAAACCTTGTCGGTCTTTAGTTGTGTACGACATCGGCGAACTTATGCAGAATTTATTCGTAATATTTTGTTTACATGCATCTAAACGATTAGACATTTACCAATGTCTCCAGTGGAATAAAAGAATTTTTAAACGAAAAAAAAATGTATTAAATATTATATTCTACTAACGGCTTGTTTCATAAGAGTATGTGTCTGGTCTTGTCCCACAGATTCTCTCTACACTCTCTTTATAAGTATGTTCCTTTTAATAATTTTTTCTGGCACAGACAGGACCATGTCGTCCGTAGGACCGTGGATGACCATGTTCCTTATAGCCATGTACTTTATTTGTATTGTGCTCAGATGAAGAAGACAGCAGATCTCGTATGATCCTGTAGCAAAAAATTAACATTCTCACTAGCAAAATCATACAATATCTGTCATTTTCTTAGCACAATATCTGGTATAATCTCATCACGTCATATAAGTTGATCTTGTAAAATTTTGTGACAAGAAGTTTCAAGCTGCCACAAGATCTTAAACGTTCTTAAGACAAAATCTTGTCACAAAATTTCATAAGAAAACGACAGATCTTGTTGATCTTGTAAGTTGAGTTGCACCTGGGTCAGTATACAGAGACAAATTTCTCCCACTTATTGTTCGGCTGGATTGAATTCTATATCGGAACGCAAAACTGAAATTTTCAAGTTTTTTCCCACCCACTTGTCGAAGTACACAAATTCTGATTGAAATCACACAAAAATAGTCTTCATGACGACTGTCATTCCTAGCTGTCGGTCATGCTGGTAATGTCCAAACGAACTAAATACACTGAAAATCTGTCATCGATATTCCTTTTTTGATGACTGTTATTTGAAAAATACTGATGGTATACTGCATGGTGTACCGGACGGTAAACCGGGGGTATTTTTGCGGCTAACAAAGGCATAGAAACTTCCCTCTACTTTTCGCTTCGGATGATATTTCTCTGTATGGAAATCTCTAAAGATTTCTGTCAATAGTTTCTATTTCTTTAGTGGTACTAATTTGTTCGCTTTGATCAAGATTTTACAGTGGTTCATAGAACTATGGTGAATAATACTGTGTGATTTTATATTGATCATATGAACTAATGTAGCCTATTTTAATTTATTAGCTTGTCTTGTAATTATCTTAGGATCTCAGAAGTTCATGATAATACGAATAAAAAAATAGTATCAATTTTTATCTATAACTTGATTCTCTTACGAAAACAGCACATAATCAGCATAATTAATGAAGTCCCTCGTGAAACGTCTTGTAACATAGATCTCAACTTCTAAGTAAGATCTTGGTAAGAGAAACGTAAGAAATTCAGTCTTCACATCGCTATTCACATAGATTTTTGAAAATCATCATATAAGTGTTATCAGTCGACCTTTTCCGGATGTTTTTGCTATGAGGATTGCATAACGTTCTTACGAGGGAACCGCCCCAGGTGTCCGGCTCCGATTTCGTTCGTTTATACATCATTCGATAGAGGACCTCGAGTAGGCAAAAAGGCTAAAAGGATTTGGGCGGAGGGCCCTTTAAGACCCGGTTTTCTGAAAAACTGTTTTTCCAGAAAACCGGGTCCTAAAGGGCCCTCCGCG